ACCCCCTCCTCCTTTTTTTAAAGTGTCAGACATGCTTTGAATGAATGGCAGCAGCGGAGATGTATTTTAAAATGTTTTCATGCAGGCCATCTCCCATTAAAATATTTTTGTGCCACTAAAATCAAGGGCAGGGAGTGGGTTTTTAGAGTAGTCTGTTGATCTGGGGGTGTTGTTTTTAATGATAGCGAAAGTTTGACGGAGAGTAAGATGCCTTTCTCTCTTTACAATGATGGCTGACTTGTTATTCATATTTTAATGAGGTTACTATCTCTAAGACAGCTTTTTCCGAGGTGGAGGCCCACATCTCCGGTGTCACGACAATGGGAGTTCCTTTATTGACAAGGACCATTCAAAATCTTCAGAGTCCCTAAAGAAAGGCTTTCATTTTCTGCCACTTGTCCAAATACTACCCTCCTCCCCTTTTATTATTAAACCGGTTTTATAGTATGCTTCACTTTTGCAAGATGGATATGGCACTGGTGGTCAAAGAGGACTGCCTTTGCCAAAAGTATATTCTCATTGTGCAAAAGTATACTCTGGTTTTTCTTCAGGATGATGTTGAACCAGTTCATAGGCAAATGCCTGTTGCATTCAGTATTAAAACCTGGCTAAGGAAAAAGCTCACAGAGAGCCAGCTGAAATGAACTGATTGCATTTAACATATTTCATGTGTACGAGGACCACTTGAGAGCAATAGAAGTCTATGTTGTTTTGTGTACAATTCCGTATATGTAACAGTCCTCAAGAGTGTGTAGAAAGAGAATTTAAGGTTCTAAAGACTCCTTAGGGAAAAGGGAAAATTCATACCAACTTAACCTCTCATCATCCCCATCCTCTCTCTACGCACACACACACACATACGCACATACAAAGAAAAGAAACTATGGAAATGGGAAATGTCTATAACTCAGCCATCATGCTGACTTTGTTTATTATTGAAACTTTTTGTGTTTGTGTCTTCGAATCACCTGTCAGCTTTTGGCGACCCTATGAATTTCATAAGGTTTTCTTGGGCAGTCAGGGGTGGTTTTGCCAGTTACTAAAAGTAAAATGAGGTTTAAAAGCTCGTGAAAACAATGCATATCCTTCATTTGGTTCTGAAATGAACCACTCTAGTAGTAGGCATGCAATATACTGAATCTTCACTCCTTCATGAGATGTGTATTACATATGTAGATGTGTGTATATGCACCACTCTCAGAATATTAAATATTTTTTTGTCTTTTGAGATATATAAATATGAAGAAATGTATTAATGCAGCTGGGATGAATCGAGCTTGTCCTGAAATGCAGTACAGTAGAGTCTTACTTATCCAACATAAATGGGTCGGTAGAACGTTGGATAAGCGAAAATGTTGGATAATAAGGAGGGATTAAGGAAAAGTTTATTAAATGTCAAATTACATTATGATTTTACAAATTAAGCACCAAAACATGTTTTGTTACAAATCGACAGAAAAAGCAGTTCAATACATGGTAAAATTATGTTGTAATTTCTGTATTTACAAATTTAGCACCAAAACATCGCAATGTATTGAAACAGTTGTGGATCCGGGCGGGAGGCAGACTGCATTGGATAATAGAAAATGCTGGATGAGCGAAGGTTGGATAAGCGAGAGACTACTATATTTCAAACATTCTCTATATTGTCAAAGGCTTTCATGGCCGGAATCACTGGGTTGTTGTAGGTTTTTTTGGGCTATATGGCCATGTTCTAGAGGCATTATCTCCTGACATTTCGCCTGCATCTATAGCAAGCATCCTCAGAGGTTGTGAGACCTCACATAGAGGCAGGCGAAACGTCAGGAGAGAATGCCTCTAGAACGTGACCATATAGATTGAAAAAACCTACAACAACCCATACATTCTATAGTTTGAATTGTGTGTCTACAGGAACATTACTGTAGATGTGATATGTGTTTTTACTACTTCGCTTCCTTTCACTGGATTTAATGTAAGCAACCAGAAAACAGAATAGTAATTGTTGAAATAACTTTTATTCCCCTCCCCACAGTTAGTTAAGTAGCAGAACTAGGAATACATTTTAAGTCTTTTAAAATCAGTGTTCTGAGAAACTAGTGTTTCCGTTTACATCTTTTCCCATAACGTTCAACTGTTACATTTAAACGTGCAAAAGTAATATACTGCAGTTAATACAAAGTACAATCTAATGTGTGTCTAGTCAGAAGTATGGAACGAAGCTTTTGATTATTAAAGTAATGCAGAAGCAAATATGGAATATGTGCAGTCGACATTGGAATGGCCCGGTCTACGCGCTTGGATTGTGTTTTTATTAGATGTTTTAATTCTTATATTTCATGTTTTAAATGTCCTTTCTTACTTTCTTAGTGAATTGTCTCATTGATTTATGCTAACTTATATGGTGTTGATCTGTGATTTGGTTTACATATGTAACACATTGAATTTCGCCATTATTTCTGTGTAAACCGCTTTGAGTCCCCCCAGGGGTGAGAAAAGTGGTATATAAATATTGCAAATAAATAAATAAGTACCTGGCATTGAATTTAATTAGTCTTTCTTCCAGGTAAGTAGAAATAAGTACTGTGTGTGTGTGTGTGTACAATTAAATTGTGTGTATGACTTCTGCCTTAATATCTAATGTATTTTTCTGTGTAACATTCTGTATCCCCAATCAATATGTATCTAAGTAGGCTTACATACTACAATCACTGAACTCTGTATTGAGAAAATATGGCAGAGCTGAGCATTTCAGATCAAACTTCATAAACTTTAACATGCACTCTATCACTTCATTGTATGCCCCCTTCAGCTGATTTTTTTGCTTCTCCAATGGGTGTTAGACAAAATTTCACTTAGAAAAATGCAGATAATAATTTCCTAAGGTGCAAAGCAGTTTATTGATTAGTCCATTTACCATATCAACCAAAACAAAAAAGTACACAAATAGACACTAATCACTATCCTAAGACTCCTGTCATAGTGAACTAACATACATTAGAACCTGATTAAGTTAAAAGTAATTAAAAATATCATCATTAAAATGCCAAGGCAAAACTTCATACCACAAAAGTTAAAAATGAAGGTTAAAACAAAGGTTAAAATAGGCCAGCTATTTCACAATCCCAATCCTGTTCAAATATCTGCGTCACCCCTACAGTTAACCCCCAATTTCCTAAGGTATTGATTGATTTATTTATGTACTTCACTTGTATACGGCTTTTCTCATCCTCAAAGCAGTTTCCAGCATATATATGGCAACATTTAATGCTTCACATACATATGAAACCTAACATAAAATGACAATAACATATAAATATTGATTGGATCATAACTACTAAAAGTGAATAGTTCTGTAAGGAGAGCAATGGAAGAACATTTCTTGGAAAATATATCTCGACAAGCTTTTCCTGGTTTTATTTCCAATCTGAATCCTCATTTAAGAAATCAAGTTGAACTGAATTCAAACTGAGCCTGATTTCTAGACAACAGAGTATTTGGCTCTTTAATTCCAAATCATGAGGAGGAGGGAGGAGAAGTGTGTGATGGGTTGTCTATTTCAGCTAATTTCTGAGGGACCATGCTGTTTAGTCACTGTGTGTCTGTTTGCAAGTGTATGAGTGTTTGTGTGTTTAAAATGCAAACCAACAATACTTCCCCCAAGTTTGTCCTGGATCCAAGAAGGATGCAGTTAGTCACTGGAGATATATATGTGTGTGTGTGTGAATTGAAGCAATTAACAAATAGAAAAAAACATATCAGGAGCAAATCGTTTTGGTTTCTGCCTTCTTCAGTTGCCAAAGATGAAAGTTTCCGCCTCCTTTCATCTTTGGCAACTCAAAAACGCGGAAGCTCTTGATATATATTTTAAAGTTCTGTTTGTTAATAGCTTCAACCAATATAGTCTGGGCACACGATTCCATGCGCACCCACATTTTGAATAGTCTGCTTTATTTATTATTTGGGCTTTGATGCGGCTCTCAAAATCCATATTCAGTGTTGCCTGCAAAGCAACCCTTCCCCAAGCGCTTTTATTATCCCCTCCTGACGTGCAAGGTTTTACCTTTCTGTTTTTCCCTCGTTTTTCCATTTCTAAAAAAAAAAAAAAAAGTTAAGATGCCAAATGCAAGATGGAGGGAGAGGTTAGCGGAGACAGTCTCATGAAAGGGCCTAGTTTAAGAGGCGCAGGAGGTGGGGTATGGAAGGAAGGGGGAGGAAGGGAAAGGACGCTAAGCTTTAATTTTAATTCTCCTGCCTTTATTTATCTGATTTGTAGCCAGATGGTGGTGAAGCAAGGGACTCCTTTGTGTAAATGGAGCACACATATGAAAGTGCTTCTGTAATGTAATCATTGAGACCGGAAGGGTTCATACTGCGTCTGAAAAGAGACAATGGAGACTGGATATATCAACATTGCAGAAATCGAGTTCATTTGTGATGCAGTCCCTTTGACTATGGTTGTCATGATAACTTCCTACTTTGATCAGCAGAGGGTGGAAGGGGGGGTGGGATGGCATCTTCTAAAGGCCCAAGGATGCAGCCCCGTTGTTTACTGTGCACTTGGCTCCAATTCACGCCCCCTTCCGGAAGAAGCAACAGGGATAGGCGCATCTTGCACCTTGACCTGTCTAGACGGGAGAGAAGGCTTTTTTTTGTCCCCGTTTCCAAGGGTGAGAGGTGCTCTTTGACCCCTGCAGCACTAGCTGTTGCGACTCTGGCTAAGCATGTAGGTAGCGTCTCTATGTTTCCCCCATGAATTCTGGCTTAACTCTGAAAGGAAGAGGACTGGGCGAGGACATGGACCAGCTGTTTGAAAATAAAGCTTGAAACAGTAGAACCTGGGAGAAGTTAAATTTTTGTAAGCAATTATTTTCTTTGTACAGACCCCTGGGAGGCGTTAAACAGCTGCATCTGACTTGATGAACAGCAAGTAAGACAGAGCAACTGAAGGGCTGGTGGTGGTGGGGCTGGGGAGGGGAGGCGGAAAGACTTTGGAGAAACTCAGCTCCAGTTCCAGAAAGCCAAGCTGACTCCAAACAGAAATCTTTGGGCGGCTGCATTGAGAAAACGTTGGCCAGGGAAATGTGTTGCTTCTCTCTCTGTCTCTGCCACGTCTTGAGCCTCTTTGAGCAGCAGAATGTGCTTCAAAATCTCAAAAGGTTGCAATGGCAGAGTATGTTGTTTCTGTTCAAAAGGAATATTATGTGGAGAATCTTAGATGATTATTTCTTTTTCTCAAGGCAGCTGGGCATTTTCAATTATATGTGCAATATAATGTGGTTTACGTTGATCCCTGTGTCACAGTTTATTAAAAGTATTCAGAATGAGGACAACATGGGTCAGTAGTTATGCAGATAGGGAGCTCTCAGAGCATTGTTCTGTTTTCTTGATCTCTGTTAAGAAGCCAGTACTTATATTTTCCCGCAGTCTTGCTTCTGTGACATTTGGAATTGTGCCTATATATATATATATATATATATATATATATATATATATCCATAGATTTGCTTATCCTTTGTTTCCCCTTTTACTTCAGATTCCTTTTGCAAAGTCAGAGACCTTCTTAACAGACGTTTTGGAACAGATCTGTGACCGGATGAATGATTATCAACTCCAGGATGACCCGGTGACTCAGAAAAAGATATTTAAGAGATATGCTCCCAGGAAGGACGAGCCGATCTATGCAGAATATAAAAAATACTTCTTTTACTCTGATGCTTATAAGCCCTTGAAATATGCGGTAAGACAACACGTAATAAACTTGTGACATTTTGGGATGAATTGTTGCTAGCAAAGTGCTTGATAGTGGATATTAACTCAGGGCACCCTATGTAAACTTGTGGGTTTTTAAAATTTGTTTTGTAATTCGGCATTAGTTTATTGTTAATAATAATAACAACAACAACAATAAATGTTGTGGCATGATTCATAGAATGTGGGACATCATGACATACCAGAGCAAATATATTATAATGCATTACTTTCGTTGCAAATATAGATGATATTACCCATCTGTCTGGTTTGTTGATCCCTAATTTTTAAAAACAGCACAATAAAAGTTTCCAGTTTTCTGGCAATTACTTTTTGATAATACAGATCAGTGGTAATGTTTTTTGCTGTTCTCTCCTGTAAGCGACTGACAACTGTGATAGTGGTTAAGAATCTAAATGAATGCCAACACAATTCATGGTGTCATCCTTGTCTTTTTTCATCCTTGGGCCTTATTGAAAGGCTTCCCTTTTGCTGAGCTAGAACAAGGGCCTAGAGCATACATACAGTAGCGAGAGTGTAGCTCCTCAACCTGGCCTAGCACCCATTTCTTCCTTTGTGAATGAATAATAATTTCCCTTCATGCATCACGCGTCATTGCGCATCATAAAGTGGCTGCTATGAGGGTTTTTTTTAAAAATCAGACAAAGGGGGAAATGGTGATAGATTTGCACCCTAGTTCAGAAACAAATCTGTTTTAAAGGTATACACATTTCTACTACTGCACTTAATACTACTCTTAGTAGCATTCAGATGTAATTACAGCTCAAGTGAACTCAGAAGCTTTCTTCGTAAAATCATCAATATAGAGTTGAGCCAGTTGGGTTGCTCTTGCTTTCTGAACCATGGAAACTCACTCTTGCACATCACGATCTTAATATTTAATTTAAGATGTTGAAGCTGAACCCTAAATTTTTGATGTTTTCAGTTGGTAAACACTAGTATCTGTTGCTTTAGATGTTTGGTATCCTGACAAAAAATGTTTTTAAACTATGCTTTATAGTCCTTGCATCCTTTATCGCAACTGATCTCGAATTTAGGGGATAGAGGCTTGTGCCTGTAACTTATGGATGAAACAAGTCAGCAAAGCTTTACTCTCTGCTTCCCAAAAAGGTTTTCCGAGGGCAGTGCCCTCTACCCATGAGTTTGTAATAATTGCTGATAGTGCCTGGAATCAATAATCACATTACCAATGTGAGTAAATGTTAACATTGTGTTGTTGTGAGTTTTCTAGGCTGTGTGGCCATGTTCCAGAAGCATTCTCTCCTGATGTTTAATATTGTATTTAGAAGTGGGACCTATCTATGAAATGGAAGTGTGTGTGAATACATAGGACACATATATACCTAAATGTATTCCCCCCCAAGCGCACATACACAAATATGCATCTGCATAGTAAAAATACTAGGGTAGTCATATCTTTTTTTAAAAAAAATTACCTCCTCCTGTTGTATTGAAATGAGAATAATATGCCTGAACTGGGAATGTTTGCAATTTGCGTTTGATCACTCTTTAAAAATAAATAATATCAGCATGGAAAGGAGTTGTTCTGTTTTTGAAAAATGGAGCCCAGAATTAGCATATATTGGAATTTCAATATCTTGTTAATTATAAAAGGGGAGAAATAAATAAATTAGAACAATTGCTTAGTATGCAGCAATGAGCAAACAGCCCCAAATAGTCTTCGTGGCAGTGTGTTCTTGTGCTGCTCTGTGTAAACGGCCTTGTTTAGTTCTTTACTAGAGAGCTATTGGGTTCTCTCTCTCTCTCTCTCTCTCTCTCTCCCTTTCAGTGTGAAACTATCATAGAACAGTATGAAGATGAAATATTCTCACTTATCGCCCAGGAGGCAGACTTTCTGGCTGACAAGCTGTGCATTGAAAAATCAGGTACTGTGTCTGATGTAACATGTGCTCTCTCTCAACAGAAACTCTTCCCCCTTCCCTCCCCTCCTCAAACCAGTTGTATTGCTCTTGTGCAGCAAAAAAAAAAAATGATGCTCTGTAGGCTGAAGCAGCTTTGACATTGCACTTCCATGGAGCGAGGGGGATAGGAAGTTGAAGGTAGCATCTGCAAGGAAATTCTGCCATTCCAACATGCCACCATGTTTGCAAAAACGCCCGTCATGTCCGCGCACTCTGTATTTTCCTTACATCTTACAAGTGCCGTATTTTTAACCACACAATAAAATAACTTTTGTAAACTAGACCTCCAACATATTAAAAAAATATGAAAATATACATTATGTGCAAAGCCCAGAAGGGTTAAGCATCCATCCAAAGCTCTCTGGGGCCAATGGCGAAAACACTGTTTTTATGGAGCTCGATTGCTCCCAGAATAGATGTTCAGTGGTCCCTCTTTTTGTGGTCTCTCTCTTATCCACAGTTTCTGCCTCTCTATCTAGATATCAAACATTGTGTTGCCAGCTAAAACATTTTGGCAAGCTATTAATCCTTAAGCAAGGTTGAATTCTGCAATGGCATTTTTGTGAACGCATTGTTTACAAAGATACGTTTCCGTGTTTTTGCCTTGCCATTAGGAATAAACGGATTGTTCTATATTCTTTCTCTTCTCTCTTTAAAGCATTGATAGTGATCAGGTAGATTGTGGAATATTTAGTCAGCTTTTTATAAAGATTCTGGTTGTGCGTGTTTTTGTCTAGGACTAAAGAGGCATTCTGTCCTTCGCTGATATTGCCCTCCCTGGCCAATTTATAATTACTGCAATCCTGTGCAGACTTCCCAGGAGTCATCCCAGTTGAACTCAGTGGGACTTATTTCTGACTAAGCATTCATAGAATTATGGTGTTAGACTGTCACTGTTGGATGGAAATATTCTAGATATTAAGGCTAAACGACGATATCTGTGAAAACGTCAATCCAAGAACCAGCCCTTGTAATATCAACACAGGACTGGAAAGTCTGAAGACCTAATAATAATTCTAAGTCAAAAGGACAATGTCAATATGAGATAATAAATGATGCTAGAAGTTTGGGAAGTTTGAAATAAGTAAAAAAAAAGAGTAAATATTTAAGAGGTCTGGAAAAACAATTAAATTCTTAACTGCTCAAAAGCCCTCATTGCAATACAGAAAGATGAATTAATTAAAATTATAGCTTCTACTCTGTTTCTTTCAATCATTCTATAATTCATACTGGTTCTTTTTAATATAGTAGAAAATTGCAGTCAGCCAAGATGGTTCTCACAGCTCTGCATGGAGTTGCCACAATCTGGCTTTTTCTGTGCAATAGAGAGATAAAGAGAAAAGAACATTATAAAGCATGAAGAAACCGATAATGTTAGAAGCACGGTTTCTCCAGCATGTTGATCTAACTCTTCTGCTTGCCTGTAGCTTTAGGGTGAAGTAATTTGCTGTCATACAGTAGCCAAAAGTACACGGAAAGTTGCATGTTTAATGTTTATGCTAAAGGCCAATGTAATGAATTCCTTTTTCCCGGAGCATCTGACAAAGCGGACTTTTGCTTGGGAAAACTCGTGCCGGAATAGGTTACCTTGGCTGTACACGGTGCATATTTACACAGGTATCACCTGTACTGAACTTCGTAGAATTTAGCCTCAGCAAGTAATTCTGGCGTGGTAGTTATGAGCCTACGCCATTTTTTCCTTGTCTGATTTCAGAAACAAGGTTTTACCTTAATCGGCTTTTAATTTGTATGTGAATACAGACCAACCTTTTAAAAATAGTCACGGGTGTGCAGGTTCCCTTGAAGTCAGCTGCTTACAGAGAACTTATGGTCATTTTCATCACAATCCATGGAGCTAATTTAGAAGGAATAGTACAGTATTTCTTCAATTCTAAGTCCCTGTTGTTGTTCCTGTCGTCATCCCCCATATAAATATCTCTAAAAATGGGGTGCATCTTAGAATCACGGGTGCTTTTATTTTTCTGTTGGTGATACTGAAATTAGTATGTGTGTTACACTCGATAGAGTCCCAGTATTGAAGAAATATGGTATTTAGAATTGTGGGGCTAGGTTGCCATTCTACAAATGCCAATTTGGAAATAAATCCAGCTGAAAGCAATTGGCCATCAAAGATGGTATGTTTAGGGCAGTGGCAAAATGCAATGGATGCATCCAGAAACAAAGCGGAGGAACCTTTGTGCAAATAGCTTTTGAAGATTCTGGGCGACTGTCGAAAGCATTTTGCAAAACAACCACAACAATAGTAATACTAGCAATGATTACTGTATTAGCAAGGTTGCACTTTTTGCCTCGATGCAGATTTATAGACTAGACTACAACGCAATGGCAGATTAGAGCAGTCCTTGTGTGTGACCTTGCAAAAAAATCTCCCAGGACTACAAACATGGCAGACATGCTAAAGAGAAACCCCAGAATTGCAAGGAGGAAAGAAAAGCAAGCCGACTCTATCTACCCTTTCTTCCATGTGAAGAAGGGGAAAACATACTCTACATACAACAAAGCATGCTAATTTAAACTGAGAGAGAGATTAAAATGAATAGGAAACAATGACACGCTGTTTTCAAATTAATTGAGATCCCCAGCACCATCAGTGGAGAGAAATAAAAACTACTTAGCTTTCGGAAATTAAAATTAATTCAGATCACCTTCCTCCGTCACCTTCTTCCTCCTCGTCATCATCATCACTGGAAGGAAATACAATTATTTAGCTTCTTTAAAAACCCAAACATTTCGTTTAATGTAACCGCTGGTCAAGTGGGAATCTGGTTCCAAAATTGGTAATAGGATTTTGTTTGACAACAAAGGAAAAAAGTGGCCTTTCCTGGAAATCACTACAGAGATGCATTGGATGCATAGCAAGGGCTAAAGTACAAAATATGGTGAAATCTTGATGTAAGTTGTACATATATAATTCATTCCCCATCTGTATTAATCACATTACATCTTTGTTGAAAGCTTCTTTTAATGCCTGGCAGTCATTCTCATCTCCCCGAAGTTTGTACAGGAAGCTAGTCAAGATACTATTATAAATGCATTTGTAGCTTTGTGAAAGATGGACTTTTTAAAGTCACCCAAATGGCCCCCCAGAAGGTTTTGCCTACAGTAAAGAGCTGGTTGTGGGATTGTGCATTCCAGTGGAAAGCAAAAAATGCAAACAGACCATGGAATTATATTATAAAGCATTTTTAAAAACAACATTCAGATCATCTGTCATGTTTGGGATGGCTTGTGGGAAAGTGACCTGCAATTGAGCTGAACGGCTCTGTGTTCCTTCTGCTGTGTGATAGGGGAAAATATTAAGAGGTGCGGTCTTTCTAAATCTTGGGGGAGCGAAGAATATGTGCTCTTAATGCTACCAGTGTGTCAAAAATCAAGAAACCTTTCATTAGACAGATATAGTGACATATCTCTACATGTTTACAGGATATTTGTTTTCACTGTTTGACTAAAGATGGAAGAAAAAGGTCCCAACAAAATGTGTTAACATGAAGAATCTGTTTGGTTCAGACAACCATGGATCAGTTAGCTGTCAAAAGTTTTCTTTGATCTCGCTCAAAATCTCTATATTATATTTTTCACAGATGAGGAATCAAAAAGGCTGAACTACACTTTACACTATACATATATATTTGCAAGCCAACTCCCCCTTCCTATCTACATCCCCTTACAAACAACTGATAACTGAATCTCAGGATAATAATTTAGTTACTAGAAAGGAGATTATAATTATCATCGGACTGATGATATCATAGAAGTGTTGGTGCATTTCAGGACAAATACTTGCTCCTAGATGTGTGTTTCCCTAAAAGATTTTGGAGATGTTGATCCAGTGAGGTTTAGTTGCTTGCGCATTGGACGACAGGTCTGGAGACCAGAGTTCAGTTATGGAAATCCATTGGGTGACCTTGAGCACGTCACATATTCTCAGCCCCAGAAAACCCTGTGACAAGATTCCTTTCAGGTTATTATACATTGGAAATGATTTAAAGGCATACAACAACAACAATAACAACAAGAAGGACAGAGAGAATGAATTTACATAAATGACCAGTGTTCTCTCCTTAGTTTCCAGCTGACCCTTTACACAACACTGCAGTAATTATGCTGTGTCAATTACAATTAGAATTAGGAAGTTGGCCAAGCACTTTCCAGGTTAACGTATGGGGCTCTTTCAGTTGGAATATAATGCACTGCTTCCACCTGCCCCCCAAAGTTATCATTAAGGTAACATAGAGACTTCCTTTGTACTAATCGTCTTCACACGCTCATAGTTCTGCAAAATTATTCTCTTTGGCTGAAATTTTCCATTCTCATCCCACAGGTGAATTTATTTATGTATGTAGAAAGCATGAGCTGAAACCATTCATGCATTTTTGAATTGCACAAGGGTAGAAAAAAATACTTCTATTTACCTACAACAGCCCGATGTCTCTGCTTCTAGTTCTCTCAATCTACCTAGCTCCAGCACGTCTATTATTCTTTTCATAGCACAGCTTTGAAAGTTGATACTTTCCAGGTGACTAGTCCGCACTGAGAATTATTCTTCGGGATGATGTGCCAATCCCGAAGCCATACAGAGCCGTTCTAAATGACACAGCTCTGTTTTAATGCATGCATCAAGTGACGTATTCATCAATAACCTCTCTGGGATGTAATAACATTCTCTGGGATTTAAAAATAAAGAAGTTGTGTTCTCTTTGTGAATGATCTTTTAAACGAAACCTTACACAGTTTCATAATTGTCTTTCGCCCCCTTGCCAAATCCTTGGGAAATTTTCAGTAAATTAGCAAAGTGTTTCATAATAATATTTATTTATTTACTATATTTGTATACCACTCTTCTCAGCCCTTGGATGACTCAGAGCACTCTTCTAAAATGCATTCTGTAAATGTAAGCCTGGAATATCTCAGTAATTAAAGCCACATTAAGTCATTTTTTTCTTTTTATTTCAAATTAGTAATTGTCCAATTTTAATCTAAGATTCCAATGTTGGTTTTGAGCTCAGAGGAACGACAACACGAAAACCTAAACTGTATGTAATGTAAACATACACTGGCTACTTGGCATGCGCGAAAACCTAACTCTTTTGCAGACTCGATCAGCTCAACACCGTCCCTATGTTCTTGTCCTATAGATGAATTTTAAGCATTTAGATATATTTACTTCCAATTAGAATGAAGTCCCATGGAAGTCAAATAATTAAGTGAAAGATTGCTGCCATAAGGTTCACAGAATGGTCAGGCATCGGATAACTTTGACAACAAGGTGCCTAACAAACTGTTCATTTATGGAGCCCAGAGTGGCTTTCTAATGGGTTCTTCAAAGCAAAATTCTTAAATGAAGATGTTTTTGGAATATAAAGAAATGGAAGGAGAAGAATCTGTTCAGGGTAAAGAGATAGAAGGAGAAGAGAGGGGAAACCATTTCAAAAATGATCGTGTCATTAAAATTTCAAATATTTCCCGAGACATCCCATTCAGAAATTTGCATTTCACTTCAAAGGCACTATTTTTTTTCACTTCTGAAACACTTTCATTCTTAACACACCCCATCATGAAAATGCAAAATTGTACAGATCCACCATCCTTTAAATAAAAATTCTGGTTGCGCAAGTTGGAATAGCCACACTAGAACAGCAAAAAAAAATTAGCTTAGTGGTTCTCAACCTTCCTAATGCCGTGACCCCTTATTATGGTTCCTCGTGTTGTGATGACCCCCAACCATACAATTATTTTTGTTGCTACTCCATAACTGTAATTTCGCTACTGTTATGAAATATAATGTAAATATCTGATTTGCAGGATGTATTTTCATTCACTGGACTAAATTTGGCACAAATGCCCAATATACCCAAATTTGAATACTGGTGGGAGTGGGGGGATTGATTTTGTCATTTGGGAGTTGTAGTTGCTGGGATTTATAGTTAACCTACAATCAAAGGGCATTCTGAACCTCACCAACAACAGAATGGGGCCAAACTTCTCACATAGAACCCACAAGACCATCAGAAAATACTGTGTTTTCTGATGGGCCTTGGCGACCCCTCTGACACCCCTGCGTGACCCCCTAGGGGTCCCGACCCCCAGGTTGAGAAACACTGAATTAGCTTGTTATCAAAGCAAAAGGGGGGAAAAGTTCATGCTAACTTGTTGCTAGCTCTTTTGTGCAAATATATATATGTTGAGTCATCGTATATATGGTGAGCCATTTACTATGCAATGATATCTCCCGCTACATAGGTAAAACCCCATTGACTTCAGTGGACTTACTCCTTGGAAAGTATAGTAGAGTCTCACTTATCCAACCTTCACTCATCCAACATTCTGTATTATCCGATGCAGTCTGCCTCCCGCCCAGATCCACAGCTGTTTCAATACATTGCAATGTTTTGGTGCTAAATTCATAAATATAGTAATTACTACATAATGTTACCACGTATTGAACTGCTTTTTCTGTCAATTTCTTGTAAAACACAATGTTTTAGTGCTTAATTTGTAAAATCCTAACATAATTTGACGTTTAATAGTCTTTTCCTTAATCCTTCCTTATTATTCAACATTTTCGCTTATCCAACGTCCTGCCGGCCCTTTATGTTGGATAATCGAGACTCTACCGTAGATAGAGGGCCACTTCCTTATTGCATTAACTTGGTCAACAGATTCTGAAACATAACAAATGGAAAAGTTGTATTGTTGTGATAGAATTGGATTGTGGCATCCTTTAACAATGCATAATGTTTTCCTTCCTTCTTCAGGTCTTTGCGAAAAGCCCGAAATGCACAGTGAACTTTAAAGAAACAGTAGTCTGCTATTATTACAGATGAAGAGGATCAAATGAAATATCCCTTCAGGCTCTGCCTTCCATTAACCTTTATCTTTACTTGCTTTTTTAAAAACACCTCCTCGACTGACATACAATGCTGTCTGCACCATTTGTTGATGACAGTGGACTGGGATTTTCATAACTGGAATGGGTTAGTGGCAAATATTCTTCAAATTAGAAAGCCTTCCCATTAGTTATATTTGTTTCTGAGCTACGCAGGAACTGTTTGCAGCTACTAGCAAATATATTAATCTGGCGATAGAGCATTTCTTATTTCTTAACAAGCATGGGAGGCATGTTGATTGAATGCATTACCTGCATTCAGTGATTCCTTCTCTTTGGCCAATGGGTAGTTAATGGAAACAAAAGAACTAACCTGCAACTCCAACCATTAAGGGCCAAGTCATAGGGGCCTACCAATATTGATGTAGTGCCATATTTACTTGAGTATAAGCTGACCCAAATATAAGTTGAGGCACCAAATTGTACCACAAAAACTGGGAAAATGTATTGACTCAAGTAAAAGATGAGGGTGGAAAATGCCCGAGTATAAGCCGACCCAAATATAAGTAGAGGCACCTAATTCTACCACAAAAAATCCTGGGAAAATGTATTGACTCGAGTAAAAGATGAGGGTGGAAAATGCCCGAGTATAAGCCGACCCGAATATAAATCAAGGCACCTAATTTTACCACAAAAAAAACTGGGAAAACGTATTGACTCAAGTAAAAGATGAGGGTGGGAAAAGCAGCAGATACTGACAAATTTCAAAATAAAAATAGATACCAATAAAATTACATTAATTGAGGCATCCGCAGATTAAATGTTTTTGAATATTTACATAAAACTGTAATTTAAAACTGTCCAACTCTGATCAAACCGTTATTCTAACCTTCTTCGGTGTAAATGAGCTTACGTATCCTTCCAATAATCATCACCATTTATTTTAACTATACGTTTTGGGAAAAATGCTGTGTGTATATGAATAAGGAAAAGTGGGAAAGACTGGCACAGAGAGAGGAGGAGAGAAAGGTGCACGTTGCACGAGAGAGGAAAGGAAGGAGAGCTGAGTTGCTATGCAAAGAGTTGAGAGTCCTGGCAGGAAGATGTGGGGCTGAAGGCTTCTTTCAGCCCCATGCCTTCCCTCCAGGACCCTCACACAAGTATAAGCCGAGGGGGGCTTTTTCAGCCTAAAAAAGGGCTGGAAAACTAGGCTTATACTCAAGTATATACAGTGATAATGTTTTTTTTTCAGTGGAGCCACACCAGTTTATGTAAATGTAGGCTCAAGACCAGCTCCATGGCAGAAATTGGTGGCTTTCTAAACATCTAAATAATCATTAAGGAGCAGTGTGTTACCAGGAAACCTGTTTTAATTAGGAGTCAGCCATTGCCATAGCATTTTGTGGCAAATTCTAGCCTGGATTTTAGAAGAGACCATCAAATAGCATAGTATAATTTTTTTGTGGCAAAATCCAAGCCATCAAAACAAAGAAAAATGTAGAATTTAATGTGGTTACCCTAATAAGTTGCAATCTGATCATAAGTGGGCTGCTTCAATGGGGAAATGTCAGCGTGCCCCTGATGTTCCCTGCACCAGTAAACCGTGTCTAATAATTTCCTTTTTGATTGGAAGGTATTTTATTACTAATTCACACGGTGTGTTTGTTTATAATTTTTGATACTTTATCACGAAAAGCTCTCTTTCATTCCATCCTTCTCGCTTGGCTATAAGCGAGAAGGATGGAATGAGGTTTTCTCACTTTCTGGGTAATTCTTATGGATGTTTAAATGTGTTCTGTTTATGGAGCAAATCACATCCCATAGGTTTAAAGCGAGTATACTGTTTTGTACTATATTTTGTCTCTATATCATCTATAGTCAGAAATACACGAAACTTCCCAAAAGTCTTTTTCCACTGAAATTTCTGCTTGAAAAATTCGAAGCACATATACAATTATTCGCAGTCGCCGGAAAGATAATCGAAATCTGTTTATAGTAAACTAGAAAAGGGCTTTAAGTCTAAAATGAGGAAGGGCTGTTAATATAGTTAAAAATGAAGATGTCAGTGTTGAACTTTCAGTGAGATGTTTGTGTAGTCATGCTATGCTTTTAAAAAAGGACTCCTCTCATACCTGCCTGCTTTGAAATGCCTTTTAGCTTTAGTGAGTCATTTTTTCCCAATACTATTATCTATTTTAATATTTCCAAAAATGTAAGCTGGCTTACTTTTATATTTAGTACAGATAGATGTGTAGGTCTGCTTGAGCTACATGCAAGTTCATGGTCTTTTGAGTCGCTGCAGACTTTTATTAATTTGGTTTTGCTGGAACCCAGTAATCCACTTTATATCTTTACTAGGACTCCTGCTTCATGGTTTACAGTCGTTTCCAGGATCCTTACAAGTCACAGATGGTGGATTAACAATGACTGGCAACCTGACCCTGAAAATATTACTTGGGAGTAAGCTCCATTGATATTAACAAATATTCTTCTTTGGAAATGTGCTGAGTTGGGCTTGCGTATCATGCTCATGCCAGCAAACTGAGCTACCTTGGCTTACATGGAAATGATACAAGTCCAGTTATGAAAACTACACTGGGCTGTGCTACATCAGAACCATGGGCCACAGTCCTAACTACATTTGCTTGGAAACAAGAACTGTTAAATCAGTGGGACTCAAAAATAAGCCGAGTTTTTCAGACTTTTTTGAGCTGGAAAAGCCTCCCTTGGCTTATAATGGGGTCAAGGCCAGGCAGTGGAACCTGGAGGCAATTGCTTGCAATATATGATATATTTTTCATTTCTCTTCACCTCCCTTGACAGTGTGTTTTCTTTTCCAGTCAAAAGGGAGGAAAGGAGGGAAAGGAGATATATTTCATGTCCTCCTTGTTTGTATGGCTGTCTTTCAAGCCCATGCAATTTCCTGGCTTTTTTGTGTATCTAAATATATTATATGTGCATTTTTGTTGCCTTGGAAGTTTCCCCCTCATATGTTTGCAGGTCATTGTAAATCCTATATACATATAGATATCTAGAGATTTCCATGTACATGTATATCTGTATCTATATGTATACATTATTTTTATATGAATTTTCCCCTCACATGTTTGCAAGTATCTGCGAATCCTATATAGATATAGATAAATATATAGAGGCACCTATATATCTATATACTGTATCTTTCTCTCTTTGTATGTATATGTGCATACAAAGAGAGAAAGATACAGTATATACAGATTTCTGTATATACTGATACTTAACACATGTTTGTAAGTATCTGCAAATCCTATATAGATATAGATAAATATATAGAGGTACCTATATATCTATATATATTTATCTTTCTCTCTTTGCATGTATATGTGCATATATATAAATAATTTTATATATGGATTTTCCCCTCACATGTTTGCAAGTCTCTGAAAATCCTATATATATGAATATAGATATATAGGATTTGAAGATATTGCAGGAGGGAAATAGGACCTGTAAATATAGGGCCTACAGGAGGAAAATACACACATATAGAGAGAGGATTTGCAAACATTTCAGGGAGAAATGCAAATGTGAAATTAGTATATATAATTATAGATCTATATTTAGCTATGCATTGTTTATATAGTCATTGAATGTTTGCCTGTTACTGTGTTGGAAGCCAGCCTGATTCCTCATGGGGAGATAGCGCGGGATACAAAGGAAGTTCTATTATTATTATTATTATTATTATTATTATTATTATTATTATTATTTGAAACACAACAAGATTAGTACAGAGCAAACAAGATCACTATGCTGGTTGTTGAATTGGATCACATGTTGGACACTTCCCAAGTTTCCGACGTGTGATCCAATACGACTATGTAATGTTTATTGTTGTTGTTGTTGTTGTTGTTGTTGTTGTTGTTGTTGTTATTTGGAACACAAGATTAGTACAGAGCAAACAAGATCACTATGCTGGTTGTTGTATTGTATCATCCGACGTGTGATCCAATACGACTATGTAATGTATATTATTATTATTATTATTATTATTATTATTATTATTATTATTATTATTTGAAACACAACAAGATTAGTACAGAGCAAACAAGATGACTGTACTGGTTGATGTATTGGATCACACGTCAGACACTTCCCAAGTGCCTAGGACTATGTGATGTATATTATTATTATTATTATTATTATTATTATTATTATTATTATTATGTCATTGTTGATACCATGTTGTTTTTGTTGACCCTACTTTTCTACTTACAGAGCTAGTTTACTGTTTTTCTTTGAAATATGGCAAATATTCAAAAACATTAAACCTCCTGATGCCTCAATGTAATTTTATTGGTATGTATTTTTATTTTGAAATTTACCAGTAGCTGCGGTATTTCCCACCTTTGGCTTATACTTGAGTCAATACGTTTTCCCAGTCTTTTTGTGGTATAATTAGGTGCCTCTGCTTATATTTGGGTCGGCTTATACTCGAGTATATACGGTACTTACAAATAATGACTTCAGAATCAGTGATGGACTATCATCTTGTACCAATTTCCACAAAAATAAAACATGAGCGCTTTGCTTCTAACTGGATCTGGAGTTGATGCTTTAATATTTTTCCTAGCAGGGTATTCTTTTTGGCGACACTCTCTCATTCCCCCGCCCAATTCTCCCTTTGTCTTGAATATTCTTCCTTTGTCTTGTCTTGAACTTCCATTGTCTACCTCGGGGATTGACATTCACTTACTTTCTTTCATTTATAACCATACATTTTGGGCTAATTAGTATGGTTTCTCTCCTCGTGATTAACAAAGATGAACACCTCGGTTGGTGGGAGGACTTTAATTTTGACATGAAACGAATGTGCTCAGCAAACACCGTGGATATGAAGAAGAAACAGAGAGGTTTCCAGTTGGCTTCATTTAGACAAACAGAGCTGGAAAGTCTGCCCCTATTCATGGTGGATGGAAAATTAGATGGGAAAGGGTTGAATTGCTTCCTTCACACTTCATGGAACCCTATTGATTTTTCAGGATGCAGATAAGGAAAGAACTTGCCCAAAATCTATATTTTATATATATTAAAAAGGGGGCATAATCAACTTCAAATCTCATCATCTTATTTTAATTAGTGAGAAGTGGTTTCAGTATCCCAATTAGTTTGGGGAAGGGTTAAACCATTGCAGACCCCCCCCCCCTTTTGCTATTAAAAGGGGGGAATGGCTGTTTGCATGGACCGTCCAAAAGTCAAGAAAAAGATGCGATCTATGATTTGCAATCTATGACCTCACTAAGTAAACCAATTGAAGGTACTAATAATCAAAATCATTGTTGTGTTATCCATCGCTGCTAGTGCTAGTAATCTCCAATGTTCTGTTTACTTCTGTCAGTAAGACAGTATCTTGATGAGGTGTTGCTGATTGTGTTGTATTAAATACTACATTCAGCTCTTTGCTACAGGGTTTGTGCTTTATTTATTGGGCAAATACTGGAGACCTTTTATGATACATCTCTCTGACCTGGAGGTTGCCGGTCCGAATCGGCAAGATGGGTGAGCTCCTGTCTGTCAGCTCTAGGTTGCAGGAACATGAGAGAAGCCTCCCAACAGGGTAACA